TCACCAAAAATTAACGAAAAGTCAGATCAAAGCCAAATTAAGTTTGCACATGTTTTAGAAAGTGCACTAATGATTCCAAGCATTTAAAACATTTTTGAACATTTTAAGACACTTTTAAAATTGAAAAAAAGTTAAGCGAAACAGGGGACCTAAAAAATGCACTCGCTATGCGAAGCATGGTCCCGAAATCACTAAGCGAAAATCGTCCATAGGAAACATCATTAAATGATGCATAGAATTCTTTTTAAAAAACCATTGTTAAGCGAAAACATCGCTAAACGAGGCAATCGTTAAGCGAGGCACCACTGTATTTTGCCCCCAGAAAAAAAGCAGTACAGAAGCACAACAAAAGATTACAATCACATAAAAGGTGATTCTCAACTGGATGTTCTACATCCCGGTCGCCTGAATTTAATCATTTTCCTGATCTGAATTGATGTGGGACCTGGCCTTCTGGTTTAAATAAAACTTTGGTTATTTTCTTATTTATGAACAGCTTTATATCACTGTTTTGTTTTGAAAACAAAATCACTATCAGTGTACTGTTTTGCAGGGTTATATAAAGAGGGAGAGATCTTATAAATATAGAAGAGTCTTACAATACAGTGGAACTGTATGCAGTGGAACTCATAAATACAGTAGAAGGTTGGGGACCCCGTATCTACAGGATCAGTACCCACTGATTCACTTATCCATGGCCTGAAAATATTAAAAATATTTTTTAAAAATCATAGAAATATTTGTTTCTAAAGATGAATTTATGAGAACTAGCCATTAGAGGGAGCCAGAGACCATGCTATGTATAGCATTTGTCATAATCCATTTTTCCAGCATCTCTGGGGGAGCTGGGAACTAATCCCCTATGGATATGGGGGTCCTACTGTATACTTTGGCTTACAGATTTCAAAAGGTGTTTTGCAGAGAGAATTTCATAGTATATTTTTATACAATTTCCTTATTTTTAATACAGTTTCCTAAAAAATAAAATTAATGCAAATATGATTCTTTGCATATGTTGCTGTTAGTGAAAATTGTTATAATCCAGTTATCACTAATCCTTTCCGGGTATGGATGACAAGGACTGTTCATTTGCCACTGGGCTGCATGATGAAGTTTGTAATAGCCATTTTTTCTCTTAACACACATACATACACAAAAACAGGTTTTCATTATTAACTTTTCTTCAGAACCTCCAGTGTAGCCATAAGTTGCTCACAACAAGTAGTACAAAGGACACTACCATTATTTGAAGGACTGTCAGAGGATGCTCTTCTATTTGAAGATATACTTTGTTTATGGGATGGGAAACCATTTGCTAGTGAGGATAGCCTGGATCCCCCCTTCTAATCCTTCAGTGTACTAAATAATATTAGTGAGCTTGGCATCACCCTGTCCCTACCTGACCTGCCACCCGACACTTCAGTCAGAAGCCTCTCTTTGCTCTCCCCCCTTCCTTCTGTGAAGCACAAAGTACACTCAGCTGGTGCTTGCAGGATCCAGTTGGATGTGCATCTGCATTTGCTCCTCCAGCACCAGGGAGCAGAGGGAGGAGGAATAGAACTGGTTGCACCTACAGGAGCTGTGGACCTTTCAGCAGAACAAGAGTTCAGAGTCAGTCCTGGCATTAGGTAGAGTGAGGGGAACTGCCTCAGGCAGCAGGTACTGGATGCTAGCAGTGAGTGTAAAGGTACAGTGGACCCTCGACTTACAGACGGCTCGACTTACAGACTTTTTGACTTGCAGCCACCATTCCAATACGGATTAATTCCTTAAGTAGAGGGTCCACTGTATTTGTACCACTGTTGGGTCTGCTGTGGAGACAGGCTGGTTCACTCCTTTTGCCAGTGACCAGACAATGTATGCGTCAGCACAAGCCAGCCTGTCCCCACAGTGTTCCTACCTGCACCTTTCTGGTTCCTGTCAGGAACTACTACTCTTTTTTTATGTGCAGGTAAGATCACTCAGTTTTGGTTCATTTCCAACATGTGCAAACACTGAGATTGGACCAAAGCGGAGCTTGCTTCTTACAATTGCCCATCCTGTTTCACATTTCCAGTATCATTAAGGTTAACCACTTAATGATATTGGAAAATTAAAAACCGCCTGTGCTCCTCTGCTATGTTGTCTGGTCCCACAATGGATGGGCAGAGGGAGGAACCAATTTTTTAAAAAGCCTATGAGGGTAGTGCTGATGTGCTGTATCTTTTAGAAAAAGTAAAATAAATAAATAAATTGAAAGCTTCCTCCTAGAAGGAGGAGGAGACAACAGAGGGCAAGGAGAGGGATTTTTGTTTTTATTTTCTTTCTTGTCTTAAGGGAGACAGACAAAACAGGGTCACTTGAAGTGTATATGCTGGGGGAATGCAAGGGTCAACTGACCTCAATGTCAGTGGTCCCCAATCTTTTCAGAACCGTGGACTGGTTGGGGGGGGCAGGGTCCGTGCGCGGGGAGGCAGGGCACCCTCCCATGCTCGCTGGTGGGCAGGGCGTGCCCCAATCTTTTCAGAACCGTGGACTGGTTGGGGGGGCAGGGTCTGTGCGCGGGGAGGCTGGGCACCCCTTGCTGGTGGGCAGGGTGTGCTTGTGGAGGGGTGGGGTGCATGTGAGTGGCGGGCCATGCGTGCAGGTGGGGTGCATGGGCGGAGTGCGGTTGGGGGCGGGAGATCTGTCTCCACAGCCTGGTCCTGCCATGGCCACGGACCAGCAACGGGCTTCGGGACCCCCTGCTCTACGTGATCTCAAGTGACGCTGTTTAGCCCACTAGTCTGCCATCTAGCCAAGCCCTTTAATGCTACATGACAGAATTCTATATGGCTTTCCACAGACCTCCAAGCTAGCCTGCTGTCCAACAGAAAATCAGTGACACAGAGTTACAGGAGAGTGAGAAGGCAAGGCAAGTATAATGTAGCTTTAAAATGATGGGCCAGCACTTTGAACCCTAGCATAAATACGTATTTTGCACAATGACAGATTCCCAGCGTAAAGGTATTGTGAGGATGAGGGTACCCTAAAGAGCACTCCTCAAAGTGTACCATCTGCTTCCTTGGCAGAAGATATTGAGGGACAGATGCCCACCCTGGAGGAGAACTTAAGGGACGTATAATGTAGCTTTAAAATGATGGGCCAGCACTTTGAACCCTAGCATAAATACGTATTTTGCACAATGACAGATTCCCAGCGTAAAGGTATTGTGAGGATGAGGGTACCCTAAAGAGCACTCCTCAAAGTGTACCATCTGCTTCCTTGGCAGAAGATATTGAGGGACAGATGACCACCCTGGAGGAGAACTTAAGGGAGTGTGTTTGGGAGAGCAGAGGCAGAAAGGACAACTTAAGAATGAGCCACCAGAGGGCATCATTTCGGCAGGAAAGGGAGAGGGGAGAGAAGGAAAGGAGAGAGGGGGAGGGGGACAGTTGGGAACGGAAGAGGAAGAAGTGTGTTGGGTGAAGGAGAAAGAGTAGAAGGAAAAGATCTACAGCAAGCCGCCTTACTGGGGTGAGATGGGAGAGGGACAGAACAAAGGAGAAAACAAGGAGAGTGGCAGCAATGTGAGGCACAAAGAAGGGAGAGCAAACCATGGCCAGACCATCCTGGGAAACCCCGTGGGATGAACCCATTCAGACCGAGGATAAGGCAAAACCCGGACAAGAAAGTATAGGTTTTCCACCCTCCCCAAGAAGGTCAGCTACACATATGCCTGAGGGATCGGGTGTTCCACTGAGGTGGGGTTACATAGATTGGAGTTCTACCCCTATGCAGATAGAAGGGGATTTGTTATGGTTCAATGAGAATGAAAGAGGCGCAACATCCCTGAAGCAAGAGACAGAGTCTGTTGTTACTGTTGAAGTGAACAAATAAAGAATAAAGGCTTTTGGTTGAAAAATACAGATGTTGCTGAGTCATCTCTCCAGCCAGAGTCAAAAAAGGGGTAAGAGGGAACTACACAAGATCACAGGTATATATGTATTGTCAAATATATATTTACTACAAAAAGGTTATAAACTTAATTACTTGGAATATATTTCACTGAATTCAAATGAGATCTTCTACATAGATGTGTAAGATAATTGCACACACTCATTGTGCTGGCTGGAATTTTAACTCATGTTTGTTTATTACTCTGCCTTTCTCCCTAAAATGACCCATGAGGTTTTATACGTTTGCCTGACTTGTCATGTCTAACTCTAGCTAATTAACAAGGAACTGGTGCATGTCTCAGTTGCAAAATCAGGTGCACAATGAAGCATGTGACCAAAATATGCCCTGGCACTTTGTCAATTAGACACAACTAACTGTGCGAGGTTATGCAGATCTTACATATATACCAGTAAAGTGTTAGGCACTGTAAAGTATTTCCATTACAAATTCAGTAAGTATTAAAATTTACTTAATTATAATTAATGTACACTTATAGAAAGTACTTGCATTTTAAAATTACTTATCTAATCTGCTCTTACCTTGTAGGGACAAAATCTTGCAGCCAGAAGTATGAGATTAATGTCGACAGTATAATAGACAAAGAGGTTGCAAATCCTTTTAAAATGTTGTCTGCATATTTTATAACAGCAGCTATAACAAGGCCCCCAAGTGCCTAACAAAAACATTAAAAAGTAGATTGTCACTATCTTGTAATAACTCTTAATAAATCAATTTTAGACTGTTAAATAACAGATCAGTATCAATCAGTGCAATCTGCATATGCATAAATTCTTCTTATTTTCTAAAATCCTGAAGAGGGAAAAAGCATATTTAGTTTTTAGATAATACAAGCATGATGTATCTTAAAAGATGCCCTCCCTATGAAAAGGAATGAGGAATATCCATACTAAGATTATAATTACTACCTTTAGTGTTATAATTATGGCAGCCCCAGCAATTAATTGGGATTTTTAACTGATCACTAAATTTATCACAAGTAATAAATTTATCACCTACAACAGCCTTACTAGAAAAGAATGTATAAGCAAAGTATCTTTGTTTCAAGAAATTGTTACCATGCTTATTACTATTTGTTTAAGGGCAGGAGTGATGAACATGTGACTCTCCAGATGTTATTGTTGCCTGAAGTCTCCATCTGTCCTGGCCAGGATAGCTAATGTAATGTGGAGATTTGTTCTCAGTTAAACATTCTATCCTCAATGGAACATTTATGGAATACATTCCTTGCAAAACTGGCTTGTCTTGTACTTGATAAAAGGTTAAAAAAATCCCAATTCTTATATTTCAAGTTATTTCCTCATCTTATTATTTAATTAGGTTTGCAATTTTAATGAAATCTCAACATGATCCATCAGAGCAGATGCTGGAAACAGGTAGTCCTCCAGAGGCTGAGGGATAATAGTTCCCATCAGCCCCTGACAGCCATGTTTGTGGTGAGGGATGATGGGAGTTTTAGTCAAGAACTTCTAGAAGATTACATAATCTTTGGAGTTCAGTCGGGTGAAACCTCTATCTTTCCTACGAATATCAGTAACAATGGGAGAAGAAAAAGTAATGAGACCAAATGTTATCCTGATGTCTCCTACATTCCCAGATAACAGCTGGAGCTCTGAATGTTTGTTCTTCTGAGAGCTGAGAGAACCCGTGAGGAGGACTGAGATCTTATGCTTTTGCTTTTAGGTCAGGGCCAACAATGTTGCCTTTGTGGGATAAAGTGGAGGGGCCATAGTTAGGCCACTGGGAACCAACTGATGCCTACATGTTAGTGGGTTAATAGTCCTATCATTAATTAAATAATTTTAATAAAAATAGGATAAGTGTCTGACAACTATGACTACACATTTGGGCTAGAATTCTTGAAGCAGGCTTCCCCTTCCGAGCAAAACAAACATATAGATTAGCATCTGTACATTTTTCCCTATCTCTAGAGGTAGAAGGGAACATATGTTAAACTGGGAGAAGCCTGGAATATAACTGAGACAGCCAGGACCCTACAGCTTGTTTACATACCTTGGATAGAAATTCAAGGTCAGCAGAACATACTGGTAATTGTCTACCAATAAGAAACATGCAAGCAAGGATGCACACACACACATTACATATATATGCTAATGCTGGTATATAATCCCAGTAAAAAGGACAATCTAGCCACTCATGTTGACCATGCACGGGGAAGCTCGTATGAAGGCATCCATTTCACATATGGGTTCTACATTATACCTAGGGAAGCATTACATTGGCCAGTATCCTATTGACAATTTATACTTACCTAAAGGAAACTGTGTAAGTCTTGGCTACAACTGATTGCTCATTAATAAGATGTGCTTGTGTTCCTCAGCTTGTGCCCTATTCAAGCATGCATCCAGCTATGCAACCAACACATTGTTGATGCATGGCAATTTGATACCAAGATTTACACTTTTTACCTTGTACAAGTATCAGCTGGCAGTAGGATTCTAGCCATGTTTTCTATACAGTGACAAATTTTAAAGGCAGAATGAAAATAACATATTTACTAACAAAATTACTTAACAAAAATAATTTTAAATAATCCTTACAAGAATCTCAGTATTCTTATCCTCTTAAGTTTGGATGAACAGCTGAAGGTGAGAGGGTGCTCTTGCCATGGCGACCCAACAAGTTCATGCTTGAGGTAAGATTTCAACCAGACACACACACCCCCAGTTCACAAGGATTGCCATCTGTAGACTCCCCAGTCCAAGGAGGAGGGCCTATTGAACTCAACAGGTCTCATGCTGCACTGGATTGTTATTTGTACAGCACAGGCATGTTTGGTGCAGTTGTTTGGTGCAGTTACTATATGTTTGGTGCAGTTACTTGGTGGTATCTTCCAACAGAACACTTGAAGATGCCACCAAGTAACTGCACCAAACATATAGCATCTACAATGCTTATTTTGTCCCCACCCCAAATATACTTAAGAACAACTAATTAATATGTCTTAAAATAATTAATTTTTAAAAAGTAATCTGCCTGATTAATCTGATTAATCACCCTTTCAAAAGTGATGAAGTGTTTAACTTCATAATTCAACTGATTAAATATAATTTGGCCTAAATCCAACTGTTAGTCCCAGTCAGAGCAGACCTACTGACCCAACTGCTGGATAAATCAATGCTCATGTAAATCCCAGTGATACAGTGGGACTAGCCATTGGATTTAGGCCATATGTTTAACTAATACGATTATAAATTGTGATCAGTTTAAAAGGTTAACCCCAATTAATTGGGCAGGTTATTATTCCTGATTAATAACCAACCACGATCTTTACAGAAAAATAGTTACTTTTATTCGGGCTCTTTTTTTCTTTTCCTTTTGTTCAAAATATGCATTACCTGAAGAATTACAACTATCCAGGTGAGTCTGTTATAACCTTGAAAAAATCCATTCTTTGATACAGGTTCTCCATCATAAATGTATACACCCATCAGTCCAAATAAGCTACCAAAAAATCCTGAAAGGCAAGTCAGATTTTGAATGATCATAAAACAAGTGACAGAAAGATGATCTCATGCCCACTTCAGATGCATTTGCTTATACAGTACTCTTCTATATGTATCTACCATCATGAAGTCTACAGAGAGCTGCCCTTAAAGACTGTCTGAAAGCGGTCTCTTGTACAGAAAGCTGCAACCCATTTAATGACAACAGGCAGAAGTTACAAGTAAAAAGTAAACTGATGCTGCTGACTGCTCAATAAAGGATCCAGTTCAAGCCTTTCTCATGACCTTCCAAGCCCTAAAGAGCCTGGACAAACATACTTGATGAAAGGAACATTTCTTCCCTCATGTCTTGAAAACATTTGTTCAAATATGCGGTTAATGTATAATAGTCTGTTGTATTTAAGGATTTCTACTTTTAGAAAGGCCATTTTAATCTAAGATGCTACTTTGTAATTTTAGTCCTAGGTTTTATGTTTTCCTTATTTGTCACTTGTTGTCTTGACTGTTGCTTCTATGTCTTAGAAGCTGCCTCGGGCATAATTTGTTACAGAAATGTGACAGGATTCTGGCCATTGTGACACCTCGGTACCTTGAATACTTTTAGAAGAAGGGCAATTAGCAAATTTAATAAATTAATGAAGATTGATTCAGCTGATACTGTGAAGCCTCCTACTACAATGAAAAAGTCACAAGTGTACAGCTACTTCAAATCTAACATACAAGTTGGAGAGCAGCTTTTAAATCAGCTCATATATTCTGAAAATATGCCCAGGCAACAGTGCCATTTCATTTTACTTTAAAAAAAGGTCTATATAATTGGGACAGGATATATTGGCTTTCAACTTCAGTTAAAAAAATAAAGCCATGCATTTTCTTGTTCTGCACTGCTACCCATTCAAGAAAATTTCTTAATTTAAAGCATTCACAAACAAAACATCTCTGAAACACATGATACCCTTAGTTTATTCTTAAAGACATAGAACATAAAATCGATACATTAAAATCACATTTTAAGTTGAAAATGTACAGTCAGTCTTTATCCGCTTGCATGGCTTAGTGGTTTAGGTCTCTGGCTGCGGAGCCAGAGGTTGGGAGCTCAGTTCCCCCACTGTGCCTCCCCTGGGAGTTCAGTTCCCCCACTGTGCCTCCCCGACAGGGGGTGAACTCGATGATCCATAGGGTCCTTTTCAGCTCTGCAGTTCTAAGATTATTATCAGTCCGCCAAATTTTTATCAGCAGCAATTAAAATTAGGCCTAATATGATTTTTAAACAATAACTTTTAATATATCTACTTGTCTAATTTTGGCACTAGCATACTGTATGTATCTGATATATATACATTTGTTATTTTGATTTTAATATGCTGATTTTATACCTTTATAATTTTATATTTATCTTGCTAAGGCCTGTGGCTAATGCAAATAAAATGCTATTCAATGGTATTCATTCATTATCCATTTCTGCTACGATACTTAAGCCAAGAATCAAAGAGCTATGTTAAGCAAGATGTCTGATTATTTATTTCTGACCAGAGGACTCCCTCCACCCCAATTCAAAATGACAGACCACTTCAAAATGTTCCCACCCTCGGGTATAAAAGTTTTGTTGTGTTTAATGGAAAGGATCTCTCTCTCTCTCTCTCTCTCTCTCTCTCTGTGTGTGTGTTTAAAACAATCATTCCCTTTGTCACATAATACTAATAGCAGTGTACTTTGAATCTTGGCCAAATTCTGTGGCAGCCATTAAATGCTATCAGAGATCCAACAAACCAAGTTGCACCAGATGACGAACAATTGCATTTTGAACAGGATGTGACTGCTAGAGTTCCTGTTAGCAAAGTTAATGGCCAATCTGGCATATGTTTCTGTTACAATTTGATTACATGCAGCTTGTTGAGGCATCCTGATTACATTTTGATCTACATCTGAAAACAGGATGTTCGCACGCACGCACAGAGACTTACCTAGCTGAATGTTCCTAATCCATACTGACTGTTTTGTTTCTTTCAAAATTTTCTCAAAATACACTCCAGCAAATCCACTTGAAAAGCAGGCTATCAATACTGCCATCAGGCCCACAAACTGTGATCCTGCTGAGAGCTCTTTAGTTGCTGCTGCTTGTGAATCTGTTGGCCACTAAAAAGAAAAAGCAATATAACGTTCAAAGAGGTAGCTGTGTTTTCTCTCTTTTGTACTTGTGGATCCAGGTTAGATAACACTGGGCGCCTTTCTGCCCCTCCTCAGATTAAAACACGTACATTATTAACATTCACAATTTTACTGGATAAAAGGTTAATATTGTACGTTAAAAGACCACTGCTTGGATTGTCTGCTGCAGAATAGTACTGGTGCAGAATAAGAAGTAGATCCCTGAACTGGATGGCCTGCCTGTGATCTGACGCCTAACATCTGAGTGTAAACTGACCTCACAGATGTAAAAGTTCCCACTTTCTTTTAATCTTTGAGCACTCCTTCCTTGCCCATGTCTCTTTGCCTGACTCCATTCCCCTGCACTCACTTTAAAGAGCAGAGCAGTACAGCATGCCCTTCATTGGGGTAGAGTCAATCTAGGCTCTTGTAAAACTTCAAAATTCCCATTCCCCCATGCCTGGATATTCTGATCAACTACTGACCACAGCTATTATATTAAAAGTTTCCTGGGCTATTTGACAGACAAAGCAAAGTGAAAAGAATAAAGAAAGGCTAAATGAAGGAGGAAAACATGAAAGAACATGAAACTTTCCACATTTGTTAACATAAATCCTCTGTGTTTCAGAGGCTTCGTATTTTGAAGTGAGGAAGAAAGATATGGGGAAAATTAAGAACCTCTTTTCTTTTCCCCCCCATTTCCCCTGAAATGGGGGAAAAAATAAAAGAGACCCATCGCTACTCACAGTTTTTATAAGTGCCAAAATATTTTGTTTTCTATTTTCTTTTGCCAACTTTTATACTTGTCAGCAGCAGCAATGGTGAAAACTGACTAATGTGCAGATGGATATTCAAGTGACAAGCAATGAATTTTCTAGTGCAAGTGTATTTTTATTTCTGACAGCTCTCTTCCATGAATTTGACCCCAGAAGCTCTTAGTCTCTATAATGTATTGCCTTTTTAAAATTTATCAACAGACATGCTACCTGACTGAAACTACCACTGACATTAGTTAGTACAAGGAGACTTCCTTGAAGGTAAACCTGCATAGAACTGTGCATAAGGTACTGTACACTTTCTCTAGCTATCTGAGGCCTCCTCCATATTCAGGAAGATGACAATTAGTGGAGAAGACCTTTCTACTGCCTCTAGAGGAGCCTGAAGTTATCCACTCCATTTGCAGGAAAACTCCATTTTAAAATTATCGAGAGCATGCATTCAATAATAAAACAAGTAAGATCTTCCCTGTTAATATTCAGAAGTACATTTACACGTACCTGTACAAATGCAACTCCAGTCATCAGTATTACTAAGGAGAGCCACTGATATATACCTAATTTCTTACTGAGCATTGAAACTGAAAATAATGCAGTAGTAAGAATTTTCAACTGATATGTGACCTGAAAAAATGGAAATCAAGAGGATTAATATAAAAACTTATTTATTTGCACACGCCGAACAATACCAAATACAAAGGTTTCCACCTGCTTTTACTCAAAGCCTAGTACCTGGTAAGTGGCTGCATCTAGATTTGACAGGGCAACATAGAGCAGGTTATTTTGTAGGGTGTAAATCCCAGAAGGAATGGCAAGCTTAAGTGTCTCCATTGGCTTGTTGAGGATTTCATCATGTAACACTCTGTTCAGAGCTCGTAAATTGCACTCTGTGCAAAAAGAGAAAATGCATATATTCTTTGTAAGTTTTAAAACTGACAAGTCAGAATGTGGCCTATAAATTTTAAACAGAGTTTTGCTACAAGCTTTTATACTAAACTTGTGACAAAAATTGTAGCCATGCACTGAACGTCCATGCAAAACAAATGCTGGTGGATATGAGGAGAAGTGGGGAATACCAGTTGCAGAAATGTATAAAGATGATGCAGACAAGGGGTGGGATGGGAAAAAATTCCTTTCATTAGTGGAACTGGAAATGTGGGATTCCCTGATATAATTCCCTGGTTGTCCTTAAAAATGTTTTCCTTAAACAAGTTTTGTATCCTTAAAATATGTTTTCCTCTAGAAGAAGTTTTCAGATGGCACAAAAGGCTTGGAGGAGGAGGACAGAGGAAGAAATATTGTCACACTAGCATTTTGGATTTAGGCCCATTGCTTGTAGTCACTGAATGTTGACTGGCAACTCGAAAATAAAAAAGGATCTTCAGCAGAAGGAGAAAAATCAGTTATACTTCCTGAAGCAAATGGCTGGAGATGACCTTGAACAGGAACTCTTTAATACTGTATATATGTATATAATAAATGTCAGACACCTACTGCTGTCTTTATAAACCAACAAAACACAGGCAATAATCTTCAGCAGCTCAGCAATAACCACTGCAGTTGACGATAAATAGCGAGGTCCTTCTTCTTTGAGTGTTCGAGAGTAACGCATAGTCAACACCAAACTAGTTGTCTGGAAGACCAATATGCCCAAGGAAAGGTATTTTAAGTTGGTAGACATAGTTTGATTCTCAAGCTCCTGGGGGAGAGAGAAAAAAAAAGGAAAACATATAAATTAAATATAAAACAGGAACTTCTTTTGTCACTTGACATCTTGCAGGGACTGCTCTCAACAAGGAGATTTCTGAACTGAAAGAGCAAACAATCAAAGGCTTTTACTTCAAGATCCTGTATTATTTGTCCAAAAATGCTTTGCTGTGGCAATGATGACAGATATACCAGAAGAATGGAAAAATACCTTGCTTTTGTTGTTGCATGCTGCTTAAAGGTTCTTGCTTCATCAGATATGCTGCTTTTATCTGCAGTATCGGGCATTTAATTTAACTTTAAAGCTCCTTAGGGCAGGTGCCATTGTGGAGGCAGTGAAAGAAAGGTTTTCACTTAACTGTTTAACGCCCATGAATGATTATTATTTATAATCTAAGGCATTCCAACACTGTATGTTAAAAGAAAGAGGAACTCAAACAATTTAATGTAGGAATTAACTGACAGATCAGTGATGCGTCCTTAGAAGAATCTGCTGAATGGGAAACATAGTATAGCCTCCTTCACAAAGACTCTACCTGCACTAATACCCTGTTTCCCCAAAAATAAGACCTAACCTGAAAATAAGCCCTAGTATGATTTTTCATTTTTACTTCTAATATAAATCCTACCCCAAAAATACACCCCAGTTAAGTGAAACCCCGCCCTCCACCATTGTGCAGCAACCAGAAGATGACATGACTATATTTGAATAAGTGTAGATTGTTGCACATGGAAAAAAAACATCCTCTGAAAATAAGTCCTAATGTGTTTTTTGGAGCAAAAATTAATATAAGTCCCTGTCTTATTTTCAGGGAAGCATGGTAGCAAATCCGACCACTGATCATCTCCATCAGTCCACGCTAATTGGCAAATGCTCTCTAAGGCCCTGCCACATGTGCCAAAAGGCTGACGCTGAGATATTCTGCATGCACAGCATGCACTCTGTCACCCAGCTATGACACCTCATTTTGGGCTAAGACCCTTTAGTGTATCTGACCAAGGAACACAAGAAAAGCCATGCAGAATCGGGTCAGTGCCCATCTATCTCGCCATTCTGTTCACACCATGGACAAGCAGATGCCAATGAGAAGCTCTTAAGCAGGACAAGAATGCATCAGCACCCCTCTCTGTCTTGTGTTCCTCTGCAACTGATATGCTGAGCCATAATGCCTGATACTAGAGGTGGTATCTACCCATGTGGATGAGAATAATTTGCAAATGCACAGATAAGAAGATCAAATTTCTTACAGTGGAAAAAGTTTTCAGGATGAATTTGTACAGACTGGACCAATCTCTCTTTCTCTCCCTGAGTGCTGGTGCTTAACATTTTTTATAAAGTGACAAAACAGCTTTCAAATTGCCCAAAGGTGTAGGAAAAGGTTGTGGACGTATAATAAAACATGCTAACCAGTCAGAGCCCTAAGGGCCTAAGTGGGAAAATAAATGTGATGGAGACATCAGAAGGACACAATATACAGGCATATCAATTTTTTTAAAAAAAGAATAAAAACAAAAATAAGAGAGAAAAACATTGTGGCACATTAAAGATTAATTATTTTATTTTAAAGTGAGTTTTTGCAGATCAAGTCCATATCCTCAGGAATCATCTGAGGAAATGGAATTGATCTGTGGGAGAGCACAATAAAATGTCGTAGTTAGTCTTTAGGGCGCTACAGCATTTTTTATCTCTTGAGTTGTTTATCTTCTTTTTTTTGGCTGATATGCTTGCACAGACTAACACTGCTTTTTCTTTGAAAGCAATGTACAGGGGAACGGAGTAGTTTAATTAGCTGCCTGAGGAGCCAGCGGTTGGGAGTTCAATTCTCTACTGGGACAGAAGCTGGACTCCATGATCCATAGGGCCCCTTCCAGCTCTGAAGTTCTATGATGGTGATGATGGTTACACTCTTCTGTCAGTGTAGACTTGGTTTTAAAAGTCAGGAGTTTTCAAGGATCCTGATTTATGAACATGAGGGCTAGTCTTCAGGGAAAGCTTGTGTGGTGAATTATGGAATTTCATAAGGCTGATATACAAGGAGTGAAAAGAAAAAAAAAACTGCTGAACACAGAAGGAAATGTTGACATGTTATCTTCATAATACTACGATCCTGACATTACCGGCTCGGATTCTAACAGGTGCCTTGCTTTCTGAGCAACTTAAGTTTATCTCCCAGAGGCAGGGCCAACTTAAGACATGTTGCTGCCTATGGCAAAGAAGAAGCTGGAGTCTGGTACCCTTCCATGTCCAAAAGCTGATTGGCCTGACCAAAGAATCTTTCTTCAATAATGATGTAACAACAGCATCCCAAACCACACCTGAAGGCATCAGGCTAGCTTAGGAGATACAGCACCCAGCTTTGTCCTAGAACACCTTATTGACATCTCCTAGTATCCCTCTGCTTTGCTTAATGGTAGAGTCAGCTCTGCTTAGAGAGGGAGACAAAACCCTTCTCTTGGTGAGTAGCTGCCCACTGTCTTCTCTCTAAGCTAGCCTGATGCCTTCAGGTGTGGTGCGGGACGCTGTTGTTACATTATTATTGAAGAGAGATTCATAGGCAAGAAAATGTCTTAGGTTGGCCCTGCCTCTGGGAGATAAACTTTGAAGTTGCTCAGAAAGCAACTTTCTCATTCCTGCTTGTGTCTGAACTACAAGGCCTCAGTGAGGCCTCTGTTATGTGTCATTATGGAACAATTAGGACCATGAAGCTAGCTCCAAATGCTGGGACAGAGAAACAAGCATTTCTAAACAAGAGCTACTTGGAGCCACACCTTATTTCCTAGGCATACAGTTTCTTTTCTAACCACTGATGGCTATCTGCAAGTAGTTTACACACAGAGTATTTTAATATGCTACCAAACATACTGTTCTGAATGCTGCCACAATGCAATTTGGAAGCAGAACTTATGACCCGGTTCTCATTCTTTACCTCCTTGGGTTTCTTGCGGAAGAAAAGGATAGCTTGAGAAAGGCCATATTAGGTGCAGAAACCGAGTCAAATGAGCACTGTAGGAAGGTAAGAAATGGGTGGGATAGACCCAGAAAGAGGAAGAGGTAACATACTCCGGCTGGACAGCTCTATGAGTTAGGTAGAGGTTGGGAGTTCGATTCCCCGCTGTGCATCCCAAAAGAGCCAGCCTCTGTGGCCTTGAGCAAACTGCACACCCCCAGGGTGGCCCCAGAAGAAAGGAATGGTAAACCACTTCTGAGTATACTTTACATAGAAAACCCTGAAAAGGGTCACCCTAAGACAGAATTGGCTTGATGGCACACAAGTACAGTATTATTAAAATATAAGCTGCCATGGACCTTTGTGATGGAACAAGATATAAACAATTCTTGCATCAATTTATAAAAGTTCATTTCAGTATAATGACTGGTGTGTTCTATTGACTAACATTTGGAGTTTTGTCCAGAAGAGCATGTCAGCAGTGAAATGGATACATACAGTACTACTGCTCTTTAGAGTCCTTCTGTTCAATCTGTTTTATGTGTCCTCAGTGCATTTAATTTTTTTTGTTTGCAAATGCTAGAACAAAAGCTAATGAGAAGTACCAAGTTACTTAATTAGTCCTATGAGGTGTGTTAACTCATCATGTCTTGGCTACTACAGAATAAATAAGTTGCCCAAGACAAGATATATGACTGTTTCTCCTGACTGACAGGTTTTACAACTTCTGTGCCAAGCTTCCCAGTATGACCTTTTCTGTTGTCCTTTAAACAAGGAAATCAAAGCACTAATGTTGCCTCTCTCTAGAAACTCCAAAGAAAAGAATTTTAAATATAAATGGCTAGCAATGGGGGCAAATACTCTACATAGCTTTCTTGTGAGGCAAACCAACTGCAAAAGCACTAGTGACCTTAAATGACTGGTATTATCCCCACACCTTTACAATGAAACAAGAAATAAATGCCTCTGATAAGATGTACTAAAAATAATTGATTCTAACTAATATTGCAGAGGCAAGTTTTATTCGTGATCCTTCACACTCCGACATGATTTGACTGCATTTTCTCCAGAATGGAAACTTCTAACAGTAGATGGAAAAATAGTAATACCAGCCAAGCCCAACTGATGCATTAAAAATAACCCAACAGAGGTGTGGACTTATCTCATTCTGGTTCTAAATTTGGCTAACATCTTTGCCTAGAAAATAAAAACAGCCACACCAGATATGCAGTCTAAAACCCCCCCAAAGGATTAGCTTCAACAACTTTTGAAAGGTTTAATTCCATTTTCACATACATACTTTCATAGGTCTCATCACAAAACAGAGAATGTCACTACCAAGCAATATAATGAAAGGAAGCTCCCTATGTGAGAGACTCCACAAAGTAGCTAGCTATACAGTATAGGGTATATGGTATAAGGTAGGCATTGGCTAACAGACAGACTATCATAGTTCATCTGCAAGTAGCTGAGCAACAAGTACTATGCTAGGGTCCCACTCTTATGTCAAACTAGAACATTTAAAATCCTTAGAAATGTACAGCCCAGCTCTATCTGCTACTCCCATTCTTCCTTCTCACAGTTCCCTACTGGATGCAGAATGAATTCTGAATGTCCAAACTGCCTACGCCAAATGGCAAAAGCCTTCTAACACTGAGCAGATTTTAAAAAACAATCTATAATACAACACAGAAATTTTCAAAGCAGCCAGAGAAGGAAAAAAAAATTGTACCCTCAAAATACCAAAACCCTTTGGTACATCCAAATTAGATCTTGACCTCTATTACAAACTCAGCCAATATTCAGAACTGCTATGCATTTCCTGAAAACCTCCCTCGGAAAAACACTATTTTAAGATGCAAAAATATATACTAACTTCCAGAACAATCTTCTCTCTCTCAGCCGCCATGATTCAAAAAACTGAAATGTTAAAAAGCATAACATTATCCAATCAACTTTGCTGACAAAGAATTAATCATTAGGTATCAACTGATCCATTTCACCCATTGTAGTCTTAGATGAAAGTAAAAGCCTCCAATTTTTTGTATCATTAGCTTGCCATATTCCAGATCTTCATGCCGGCATTCTTCAGCGGACACCAAGTCTCACAGTTTTTGGGAAAGGAATGAATTTTGTTGTAGAGAATTCTTTTCACAGTCAAGAGGCAAAAAACAAGGTTGATTCTGCAAAGTTTCTTTTGCCGATGTACAATAACTAACTTGCGCCCTGAAAAACATTTTAAATACTGTACTGCACCTAACTCTGTATTTAAACGGCACTGACTTATCAGCAATTGTGCAACAGTGTTCTACGCGTTTTACTGAATACCCCGCCCATTGTCAAACACACCTTCAAGCAACAGGTTTTTCAGCTGTTCCCTTTCACTAAGCTTACAGATATTCAATACCAGTGTAAGATCTAATTTCACCAAACAATTTGTATACATCAAGGCCAGGATGGGTGTTAATCTAGTATCCTCATCCAGCACCCTGTCAAGGCCCATAGTCAAAACCTGCTTTAGACTTCCCTTTCCTAGCACCCCACTGAGTTGTTAAAACAACAATAAATATTACTGTACAACAAGCAGAATCCTTGGGATTCCTTCAAAATCTTCTTAAACAGAGTATATCTGAAACAAACACAAGTTGTATGAAACAAGCAAGAAGAAGTAAAAACGAAAATCACAATTTACAGATTCTTTGCTATAAACCTGGAAAACTTAACAGATGTTGAAACTTCTAACCTCTAAATATTGTTTCACACTTTTTACAAAGAGACTACTTTCAGTTTGACCTTTCACTCTACCTCTCCATTTCATTCCACCTGAGTAATTTCTCGGCCGAACACTAACATTCTCTTTCACCCTGTTGTTTTTATTAATACTTTCTGATTTAAGAATTTCAAATAAGTTCTACTTCTTAATCCTTAGTTCTTCAGTTCGGATTTAACGAAGAACAGAGTTATGTCAGTGGCGGTTTGAAATACTTCTTCCAATACTGTAATAATCACAACAGCAGCAGCAGCAGCAGCATGTTGGCAAGTTGATTATGACTTTGGTGAGCCTGTTCAGGGTTTTCTAGCTAATACATACTCAGAAGTGGTTTATCATTCCCTTCTGGAGGGTGCGCGCGCGTGCCCTACGAATGTACAGCTTGCCCATGTGCAGGCTTGCTCTTTTCCCAGTAGGCACAGTGGGGAACCAAACTCCCTCCACAGCTGGATACCTAAACCACTGAGCTGTCTAGCCAGCATAAAACTGAAGGCACTGTCCAAGGAATTATCAGTTCAGGCATTCATTCAAGTTTTATCCTGTCTTTATTCCCTAGTGGAAAGTGAAAACTACTACGCTCTTAATAATCCCTCTTAGTCCTTAGGCTACTTCACACCATAGTCTTATTTATCTAATAGCAAAGAAGTCGAAAACAATAATACACTGTACTTCTAGCGCCCTGGCCCTTTGGGACAGGGTGGAGAATGACGTTCAAATAAATACAAGAATTCAGTTTTTCTATTGGTTCTCTATATTATCTTTGTGATAATGTCAGACCGGGTCTTCTACATATTGCTTTTATATAGAGACAGCATCACCTTTCCCCAGACTTCATTTTCTAGCAATGGAGAAAGCCTCTGTTTTTAAATTTGCTTGCAACATTTCCAGAAATTTTATGAAATAATGTTGTTTTATTATGTCTTTTTTTAAAAGACAATATAAAATATGATGCTGGAAAGGTACCAGTTGAGGAGCCATGCCACTGAAATGCTCTTCTTTCAGCCAGAGAGAGATCTCCAGCATCTCCTCTCTTCTTCCTTCCATCTTACTACCATCTAAGAATTATCTAGTACAATATACTGTGCAGAGATATATTCAGATGAATACCATTAAGTGGTCAAATAAAAGTGAAAAATCAGAATCCAGGTGCACAGGAAATACTGGGCCTCACTTGATTTAACTTTACTATTACTCAAATGATTAACAGTTTCTGTGTGCATACGGCGAAACAGTGGTTTTATATTGACTTAGGCATTCCTCTGCCAAACCCTTAGTGCCAAAATCGACAAATGCACATGTGATCAAGTTTCTTCCTCTTTATTAATAAATGGTTCACACACTGTTTCACTGTGCAATCATTCACAGTTTTCTCTCTGTAGATAATATAAGCAGTGGGCCCCGGCTGGTAAAGTACACACAGTAACCTGAAACTTCTTCTAAAACATTGTACAAACTAGGTATTTATTCAAAGCTCACTTTTAAGACATTCAAATAGGATTTACTGAGAAACATGCTTTAAATTAATACGTGTGCTTATTTGGGGAGTTTCTGCAGCTTGTGTCTTATTTAAAATCTCTATATTTGGAATAACAGCTGTCTTTCATAGAACTACTGTATTCGTTCCCTTGTTTCAAACTGCACACCTAAATACATTCCTGGCCGTTTCTGCCTCCATTCCTCGGCTTCAGATTTGCAACTGACATTATTCTACCAAAAACCATGTAAGTTTTAAAAACATTTCATTCTGATCTACTGTCTCACTTTAATATTCATTTGCCAAAGTACAAGAAATTTTATTTTATTTTATTGGTGTCTGAAGCACTCATTGTCCAATACTAACAAGTTTCTTTTTAATCAGCCATTCATGTTGAACATATCAGCCACCCACAGTATTTGGCAGGAGTGAAAAAAATTAAAATAAATGGAAAGATGTTGATTTTTTCCCCATGCGCTGTTGAACTTCTAGCAATCATAAACTCGGTGATTGGATTACTGTTTGTTCTGCTTCTCAATCTGTTCACTCTACTTTGTTCTTCCTTGTCTGAAGACTATTGTTACCATATTCCCTGGGCCATGTGGGAGCTGTTCCTTCAATATGCTAATTTCCACAATACCAGGTGTTTTTCTAAAGTAAGAGGTGTAAGGCTTGAGCTTACTGTATTTCCATGTTCTGTGGATCCCAAAGTGCCAGACTTTAGTTCTGGATATGCCAAGTGTGCTCCTGTTAGTGAAGTCAAAGAAACGGGCCCTCTGTGTATACTCAGAGAACACACATTTCTTTTTATTATCACATCGAATTTCATTGGCCAGTAAACCTTGGTCCAATATCAAAGGCCAACCCTGTGTTGACATTGCTTCCTGTAGACCTGGCAACCCAAAATCCATGGGAAATCTAGCTGAACTGATTTGAATGGTGATAAAAGCAGAGTGACAAAGATCCTTTCCCAGCGACTGCCAGCCAGAAAGACTTGTGACACGTCAAAAAGTAACCCATTTTATTATGCCATAAACTTTCCTGAGATACACCTCCTTTCATCAATCATACGAATGATGAGACTTGTAGTCCCTTTAAGGTTCATGCTGTAATAAAATGTTAGTTTTTTTAAAAAAAATTAAGCTGCTACAAGATTCTGACGTTTGCCAGAACCAGACTGAAACGGTCGCCCTATCCCTGGAGCAAAACAACACTCTGCACATTCGCAGAGACACTGTCTTGCTTACGCTTCCACGCTTCCTTCCCCTAGAGCAGGGTCACTCCGCAGGGCTGTATATCCTGAGGACAGTTGCCTCCGATGAAACCGTAACACACACACACACAACCTCCTTTGGCTTTCCTTTTGCACCTTGTACTGAATCCCTCTTCGGTGTCTCTTTTCCTACAAGAAGTCGTGAACAAGGGCAGCCCAGAGCTTCCCACCCTCTTTCCTTCCAGAGGTCTTCATCCCCCTCAGCTCTTCTGGCGTGCCGCTGCCCTTCCCTCCCGCTCTCCTTCCCTCCCTGCCTCCCTCCCTCCCCCTTTCTCTCTCGCCCTAGTCCCCACTCAGCCCGCCCGGGTCTTCCCTCCCCATTCTCACCTGCCGCGCTGGGAGCCAGGCGCTCTTCCCTTCCGGGTGGCTCTTCCCCGGCTTCCAGAGGTCTTCATCCCCCTCAGCTCTTCTGGCGTGCCGCTGCCCTTCCCTCCCGCTCTCCTTCCCTCCCTGCCTCCCTCCCTCCCCCTTTCTCTCTCGCCCTAGTCCCCACTCAGCCCGCCCGGGTCTTCCCTCCCCATTCTCACCTGCCGCGCTGGGAGCCAGGCGCTCTTCCCTTCCGGGTGGCTCTTCCCCGGTCCCGCCCCGACAACGCTCCGGCTGCAGCCGCGGCTCCGCCCGCTCCGTTCCCAGCGCCCCGGCTCCTCCGCCGCCGCCGCCACCGCCCCGCTCCGAAGGCACCTCACCGCCGCATTCAGGCCGGGCGGTGCCTCACCGAGGCAGGGAAGGGATGCTCTGTGTCAGGAGAGGCAGATGGACTGAGCGCTGGCGGGAAGAGAGGGGCAGGGCGGCCGCGACTGAGAAGGGAGGTGGAGGGAGAAAGCAAACCCAATGGGAAAAGATGCGGGGAAATTAAGTGGGCATCGCCCACTGGGGCTTCTCCGGTCGTTACATATATGCCAAAGACGATCTCTGGGCTCTTTGGCTCACTAGCCCGTGAAAGAGCCGCCAGCAACGGTGTAACTTTTTGACTACCAGGGACTAGGACATCGTCTACCCGCCCCCGCCCCCAAGAGTTCCCTCTTTCTTTGGAGTCTAGCTGTAATCCCCACAGACAGTGACTTGAGAGAAACAGATTTCCCAGGGAGCTGTGCATTGTTGCACGCTCGCTCTCTCGTGTGCACCCGAGACTTATAGGTGACACTTTTGAGGGTTTTCTAGGTAGAGAGTACAGTATTCAGAAGTGGTTTACAGTTCCCTTTTTCTGAGGATATCTATCCTGGGACCGTGCAGCTTGCCCAAGGCTACACAGGCTGGCTGTTCTGGGATGCACAGTGGGCAATTGAACTCCCAACTTCTGGCTATCCATTGAGCCTACACAGGCTGGCTATTCTGGGATGCACAACAGTGGGCAATTGAACTCCCAACTTGTGGCTATCCATTGAAATATCCAGCCAGCTGGTCCCCCTTGCAAGTTACAGTATTTGAGGGCAGAAATGGGGAATTCAGTGCTATTGACATCAGAAAAGATTTGTCCTTGTTGATATGAATCAATCCAGCTGGCTGCATTTTTGGACTCTCTTTATGAAATGTGTATGGCCGTGGCAAGGGCCATGATGAATTCCTGTAATTGTACAGTATATGTCCTACTACACCACTTGTCAACAGATAATCTTTATAATGATTCTAAAGGAGGGATTAGATAAAGAAAAAATGTGTTGTAGACGCTCAGTAAGACTTTTGGGGAACAAGAACCCACTTTATCTGATGGGGAAACAATGTTTGTACGTATAGCTAAATAGATAATTATCACAAA